TTGTCTACCTTGATGACATCCTTGTCTTCAGCCCCACCTTCGAGTCCCACCTTCAGCACCTCCGCCAAGTCCTCGCGATCCTCCGAGAGAAAAAATTCTACGCCAAACTCAGCAAATGTACGTTTGTCGCTTCGAGCGTCGAATACCTCGGCCATATTGTCTCCGCTGAAGGCATCCGTATGGACCCCTCAAAGGTCACAACCCTCGTCGAGTACCCCCCACCCAAGACGCTCCTCCAACTTCGTTCCTTCCTTGGCCTTGCCAACTATTACCGCCTGTTCATTCGCAACTTTTTCGAGATCTCTTACCCTCTCCACGAACTCACCCGCAAGGACGAGCCTTTCCATTGGAACGATCGCCGCCAACAAGCTTTCGACTTACTCAAGCAAACCATCACCACGACCCCTGTCTTCAAGATCGCCGACCCCACTCGCCATTTCTATGTCACCACTGACGCCTCCGACTTCGCCATCGGAGCCATACTGTCCCAACATTTCCCCCGCGACACCGCCGAGACCCCCTCCATCAAGGACTCGCCCACTCACTCCGAGGCTCCACCTGGCGAATACCCTATCGCCTTCGCAAGCAAGAAGCTCCTTCCCGCGGAGATGAATTACCCCTCCAATGAGAAGGAACTCCTCAGCGTGATTCACGCCCTCACAGTTTGGCGCCCGTACCTCGATGGGCAATACTTCACCATCCGCACTGACAACACCATTGTCTCCTCCATCCTCTCCAAGAAAGATATCACTCCACGCCAAGCCCGCTGGCTAAACTTCACATTCACCATTTGCCATACCCCCGGCAAAAGCAACCGCGTTGCCGATGCCCTCTCGCGACGACTCGACCACAAGCCCCYCGAGAAAGTCTACGCCACCATGACTCATATTCAACTCCTTCCATCGCTTCATCATCGATACACCCAAGGCTATCTCTCCTGCCCCGACTTCGCCACCATTTACAACAAGCTCCGCGATCTTGACTCAGTTCCCGACTCCTCCCTTCACAACAATCTCCTCTACATCGATACCAAAGGCACTCACCGACTTTGCATCCCCAACGCACGAGGCCTCCGTACTCAGCTGTTGGCCGAGCACCACGACGCCAAGACCGCAGGACATCTCGGTTTCCAGAAGACCTTCGACACCATGTCCCGCTACTTCTACTGGCCTTCCCTACTCGCCGACGTTAAGGCATACATTCGCTCGTGCCCCACGTGTCAAGCTGTCAACCCCTCGAACTGGGCCAAACCCGGCAAGCTCCAACCATTGCCCATCCCAACTCACCGGTGGCAGTCCATCTCCATGGACTTCGTGTGCGGCCTCCCCAAGACCGACCGCGGGCATGATTGCATCTACGTC